CTAGGCATTGCCATTTGAACCAGAGAGTTCCAGATCATTTCATTTTGGATGAAAGAATAAGTAATCACAACTGTGATGGGATCTGAAAGGTCAATGATTAGTTTTTGTTATAGCTCATCTGTACCACTGGCTAAAGCTGAAAGTCACCCAAGTTGAATCATCTGCTTTTATTTTTACTCCAGGATTCAGACATTTATGAAATGATAGCACATTTAGCTCAAAGGTTTGCTAATCAGAAATTATTCTTTATTTTCATAAATAACAGTAAAATTCGAATTTTGTAAGTTTTGTACGTTTTTTGACGTTTTCTGACAATAGCTTGCATGTTTCAAACAGTGCTGGCTAACCACAAGATGCTCACTTCATAGGTCATTACAGGGATTTCAACTTAATCAATAATAGTTAATTAAATAGAATGTAATTTATTTAATCACTGTTAAAAGGAAGTGCTAATCAATAATTCAAATAGAAAATAAACACCTTATGAAAATGTGCTCAAGAAAGTCTGTCTCTGGTTAGCTTCTCTATTATAGGGAAGTGTTCATTTTAATTTGTGAAGCTTAATTCAAAAAATATAATGTACTCACAAGACATATTTGTCAAAAGCTAGAAAAACCAAAACAGCACACCATGGTTTAATCTGGAACAAATCTGTTAAGGTATATTTATCTTAAAATAAATGCTTTGTAATAGGCTGGTGCTGATAACAATTACTTGAACAGAAATATACTGCAAGAAATGTGAATGAGGACTTAATAGTATCCATTTATTTTAAACAAGCTTTTTAAAGTAATTACATTGACTTACTCACAAGGCCATACAACCCCAATGTCATTAGTCATTTCACTATTTTATTTTTATGAGGCCTTAAACTGCTGTGATTTATTTATACAGATATTATACACAATGTTAATAGATCTGTCTCCCTTGTACCCAGCTCACTAGTTCATTATAGAGGTTTATTTTGTTTGCTTAAGAACCTTCTACTAGAAGTTTATGTTTAGTCCTGAAAAGGATAGAACTAATTCTCTTGGGAACCAAGTATTTACATGAAGAAACAATGGAGATTTACACCAGTTCATTGGTATGTGGAGGCATCTGGCAAATAACTTCTGTCTAAAATCAAATTTAAACTATATACCCACCCTTTGACATTATTGCTTACCTGTCTTATAACAAATTTAAATATTAAATATTTAATATTATTCCAGTAAGGCTGACATATCTTTCATAGTCAATGCCAGAAACCCTTCTAGGAGAAGGAACCTATTTTTTAAGAAATGGTGTAAGACTGTCTTTCAATAGGAAATTGGAATCATAACGATTAATAATGTTATCTATCGTGGTATATCTTGTATACTTATTTTAATACGTGAGCAATCCAAATTGCACGTATTAGCTACCCTTTTATATGTCTGGTCTTTGCATTAATCTAATAGTGGAAACAGGGTCACTTCTGAATTGTACAACTACTTTGGAAAAAAGGGCTGAGAAAGCAGTTTTAAAAGACGTAAGTGACAAAATCCATAAAAGTTCTTTTTATATTGTCAATTTTCCAGTTATGATAGAACATCTACATTTCAGCAGTTTTTAGAATGAACTGTTCAGGTTACATAATTGAATGATTAAATTTCTAGGTTCAGCCACGTCTTTAATTAACCCTGTATATTTTATAGCTGATATTTGAACTGCCTTATCACTTTAATACAGTAGCATAAGAATCTACAGAATGGTATTCAAGATGTCCTCAGTAGGATAATTAAACATTTTTTAATAATTTCACTAGTTTTTTTGTAGTTTTTTCACAGATTGGAAATTTGTGCCAGAAAAGCCTGCAGAGTGCTCTCTTGGTTTCAAAATATTCCAGAGAAGAGTGGTCTGTGAGGTAAAACAGAGAGTAGAACAGAGGAAAACAAGATCACTAATTAGACTAATTTATCTTTTTTTTTGGTGACGTATTGAAAATCATGAATGCGTCATCAAACAAAGAAAAATGAAATAATAATGACTAAATAAAATCATTCAAGGGGCAATGAAAAGGAAAATGAGTTTGCCAGCTTCTTGACATCTATTCTTCTTGATCTATTTTTAAAATTCAACTAAAGATATGGGAAGATTTGTGTTTATATATATATTATCATCACAATATGTAAGCACATGTAACATGTATGTATTCCAGTTCTTGATTACTACATTTTTTGTGTAGTTCTGAACTTAGCATCTCATTGCATTAAATCTAGGCTACTGAAATATTACAGCAATAAAGTTTTTATTTTTTATCTCCCTGAAAGTCTAAGGTTTGGTTTTTCTGCTACACATCTTATCCCTCTTGTAAAACAACAACATCAAGATGTTCTCTTTTAGTAGCTTAACATGATGTGTTGAATAAACGGTCTCCTTATTTAATATTCCCTTCAGGCTTAATCAGAGACACATAATGAATACTGTTTCAGTCTGGCCTTTGCATTGGCATTTGTAAGTCATTGAAGAACAAATGACAAACTCCAGCTTCAAGATTCCTGTGACTTTGTGGGATTTAAACTCAGTAGATTTTGCAGCCCCACTGGGGTTGTTCTTCCTGTGGGGTTGTCTGGAGGTCTTGTGAAAAACTGTGTGTGTGGGAACCCACCCTGGTTGTCAAATGCCAAATGCAATGGATGGGAACACCAGCCAGGAAGCATAACACAGCAATTTAAAATAGTTTTTCAATTGGCCCGCATGTCTAATATCACTTCACTGGGATGCCTGAAACAGAATAATGGTTAAGCCCTACCTTCATGGTGTGACGCTGACTCTCAGGGGGCTAGGCAAACAAGGCAACCGACCACCAGGGGGCCCCCTCCATGTGCAACAAAACCTTTTTTTAATTGGCACGTTCAAAGGTGAGCAAAGAACTCTCTATAGTGTCCTATTGCTGCTGTGCATTACCCTAATGAAAGCCCATTCAAAAACTGACCAATCATAGTTGAGTGCATAATATGTTTCTGAAGTGCAGAAAAGTGGGATAGGTGATCTCAAAACAGAGTTACGTCAAAGCAAGGCACTGTGATAATGCAATAATGCACTTCCTCAAGATTTCTTTTGATTGTTGGACAACAGATGATTTTATGATAATATAAAGACTGCACAAAACAAGAAAATTAACACAAGTAGCATAAATAGACTGTATGCCTCATTATAAGTGCAGTATAACATTTAGACCAAGGTAGGCTTTTGAAAACCATTCCTGAGTTTTTTTATAATTACACTTAAACTTTTCATTCGAAGCAAGCTGTATTATCCTAACCTTTATTTTAATATCAGTCAAGGATAATGCTATGCAGGAAAACCCCCCCAAAATAGGTTATTCCTTTTAATTTGTGTAGAAATCTGGCTGTATTTTACGTAGTTTCAAGAAAAGATTGAACATACTTTTTGAAACGTCATGGAACATTTTTATTGAGAGTTTTGCCGTCAGAGGATTTTATTAAATTAATCCATCCGCCATCTGTTATAGTAATTTGTACAAAATCAAATGGTCCATAAATAACAGAAAAACAGAGAAATTAACTGCTAAGTGTGCCCTAAATATTTAGTTTTAAAATATGAATCTGTATACCTGGGTCGGTGCAAGATTCTGCAATACATGGCTTGTTAACTTGCCTTACCCAATGATACTAATAAGTACAATTTGCTTTCAGTCATTCTGACCTAGAGTGTAGCTCCTGCAGAATAAACACTATAGGAAAACAAACAAGTATTGGTATTGGGATAATTGAAGTTTTTCCTGGAAAAACTGTGATAATTTAATACATATTAGCCAGAAAAGATTTTATAGAGCACTGTAATCCTAGCAAACAACACACACATTTACTACTGCTGTACTAATAAGATCACTGATTACAGGGAATGCACTTAATTGGCAAGAAAACTCTCATTGTGATATTTTACACAAATAGATTTTTTTAAATATACTGAATTCAGTGTGAAAAATGAGAAATCTGCTCCGATTAATTTAGACTTCCCTAGACTATGAAAAAGGGCCACATTTTTATACATTTTACAATTCTTGAAAAAAACTGAAAAATTAATTTTCCTCTTATGAAATTCCTCATGATCAACAGTGAATCACAAGAGGATACCAGTGGAAACTACAAGAAAGTATTTTTAAAACTGGGAATAAGTGTCACTTCTTTGAAAGCAATGTGGGAGTATGAAAGAAGACACACAGTCATGTTGTCAAAGATGATACCCCAGCCTCTCTCAAGCTAAAGTTTGAATCAATTAGAAACTAAAACTCAGCTGAGATAAATGGGCTAAAATGCCTCTTGTCAATTGCAAACCTTATGATATATGAGTTCTTACTACATGAATCATTTGGAACATAGGAACAAGAAAACACAATGTTTCGGCTGTGGAGCCTTCTTCGGGTGTAAGCTTACATCTCTTTTCAGCATGGAATAAATCTTTACTTGTTCCTTTGCAGCCTACACATGCTGACGCAGCTACCCACCTGAACTATTTGGAACATAGTATCTCTGTCCTTCATAGAAACATGCCCAATACAATATCCCAAATGCAAGTTCATAATAGACTGTTATTGTATATATTGTATATATATATAGTGCTCACTAAGTACCCAGGTAAGATCCATATATTCACACAAAACATAAACTTTGGCTGCATCACTTCTGCTGTGCTGGGGAAATTCTTCTGTGTTGTTCAGAAGGTGAAAGCAGTATTTCATGAGAAACATAACAAAATTTTATCAATGGCAGCTAATCCTATAAATTGTGTCAAAAAAATGTAGAATCAGAAAAATAAACTTAATTGTGGGCTTCTTAAAAGCTTTGTTTATATGATTAAAGGACAACAATTTAGTCACTGAAAAAAAATATCAGGTTTAAGTTTATTCACCACTGTATTCTGTATTTTTATTAAATACTCCCAGCTATGACAGTAAAATACTCAGATAACATGGTACATAGAAGCAGTTGTTTTTCAAGACTGTATGTACTTACCACTTTAATATCATGAATATCTCTCAGAATCTCCACTCCATGTATTAGCAACATTTTTCTGTGCTTCCTGTTGTTTTAGAGTCATGGGTCCATTTCAAGAATTATGGTTTTAACAAAAGCTCCAAAAAGGTGTTAGTGAAAATATATACTGCTACAGAAAAACTCTGAGGAAAAAAACACTTTATCTACTGAAGGGCAAAATACACCACCATGACATGATCATTAAATAACCTATTGCATTTCAGGCTTTAGCAAGCTATGGTGAATGAACTCTAATCAGGTCCCTCTTTCTCCTAACTCTGCTTATGTGCCACTGATCATTCTTTTAATTCCTTGCCATTTCCTGCCATGCTGTGATTCAATATGACGTTATGCCCTTATTTATTTTCACTTAGGCCACGTCAATAATTATGAATCTCTTGACTGCCCACCCCAAAAGAAGTAGGCTGGTCAAATTGGCCTGGAAGCGCAACAGGCGTAAACACAAAATTACTGATGGGATTTATTTACCCTTTCAATTTGACAATGTGCTTGGATTTGTATTTGATCTTGCTATCTTTAAACACTCTAAATGGCCTTCTTTGACTAGTTAAGATTTACCAAGCCTGATCCTTCCACTAACTTCTAATCTGATTTCCTTTGAAATGGGAGACCTTATTCCTTTTCCTTGTTGCTCTTTAAAACCTGGATGAAAGCATGGTGTGGATAAATCATTTCCAGCTGACTGGCTCCAGAGATCATGATAACAGCATGAAAACTCATTTACTAGCAACATAATTAGAACAATGACACAGCCCCCAGATTGCCCTGTTTACATCACAAATACAGAAAAAAACAAGCCCCCCCAAAATGCTCTGTTTGATTTAACCATAATATTGTTCTTAATGCTTAAATTCTGCAGACCAAGAGAATCTCAGACATCCATGGAAGGGTGCTGCCATTACACTGGGTCAAAGGTAAGGTGGAAATAAGGTCATGGGAAGGCACAATTTTGGATTTGTTTTTGTTTTTATTTTCTTCAAAAATTGATGGCCATTGCAGATGCAAGCAAATTATTTTTATCACCACTTCCTGCACACAGCATAACATCTTCAGCCAAAGACCAGCTGCCCAGAGGTATTCAGTTCTGCTTCTCACAGCCAGAAAGAATTACGTAAAGAGATAATCCACACACTGCATGTTCAATATGTATCATGTATTATTATGAATGTATCATTATGTATGCAGTATCGCCCCGTTTTCAGTAAAAGCGTCCTTGAATACAGCATGATTGTTTTGTTTAAAAGCCAGGCCCAGGCTGTCATAATTGAACATTATACAGTACATGTCTTTCTTGTCGAGGAATAGAACTGACAGAGCACCTGAACTGCTGACATCAAAATACCCATTTCAAAACAGTTACAGTTTAAATCACTTATAAAACACAAGGAAGATGGTAAGATGCAGCTCACTCAAACTTGTGTAACCTGTAAGGCATTCTCGAGAACTCCAAAAGGAGTAATGGTACTCTATGCATTATAATGAAATCAAACTTTCAAAAATGAAGTGTTTGAAAGAGCCTTGTGTACAGTTTGGACACAGTTTAAAGTATGTTTTCTAATAATTGATGCAATTGAGAAAAATATGTGAAGTAATTGTTTATGCAGCTGAGATTTCCAGTACATTGGAGGAAATTTCATAGCAATGTTAGGGATTTAAAGCCAAAAGATTCAGAGGCCTTTTAAGGGCTCAAAGCAGCTGCTGTTTACAATCTCTCATTTCAAACATATGCTGACTGATAATATCTTAACCCTACTTCATAAAGGATTATTTTTTAGCTTATAAGGAAATAAGGCAATGAAAGGCATTTGTTTGAAGATAAAGTGTCTGAAAGCTATATACTGTACCAAAAAACAGAAAGAGCAAGTGGTTTATCAGAAGTAATATTTGAACAGAAAATATTAATGTGAAGCTGGCATGTCAAGAACATTTTCATAGTTTTAGATCCATGCAAAAGTTTTCTTTTTTTTATCAAATTCTGCCTAAATGACTATAAACGGCCTTTGAGTCTTTTTCAGTGTTGGGTATTAAAAGGCAGTTTAGTTTCAGATATGTACAGTAGATGATTTTAAGTAGGACATTAGAAGAACATACAGTATAAGGAAGAAAATTCAAACGTTACTTTTGAGTGATTCAGCAGAAAGAAAACGTTATTAAAAATCACATTTCTCTTTTCAAAAGCTAAGATGTTTTTCTATTCATCTATTCTAAACCTTCACAAGTAACAGAAATAGTATAGGAACTCTGTCAAAAGTTACCAAACTAATTAAAAAAATAGTGTAATTAATTCTTCCTGACAATGGTTTATTTAGCATTAGTGCTTTTATTTTGAGAGGTATATTATTTGTTTAAAATGTGAGATAATTACTTTTGGACATAATACAGAGACATCAATTTGGAAATGTGTGTGATGTACAGTAGCTACTTCTATTATCAAAATAAAATATTTTCTGCTCCAAGAAACCTGCTTCGTTTTTGGAGTTTATATATTAAGACATAAACATTTCAGTTGTATTTGCAAATGATTGAGTTTTTTATTTTTAAATTTGTACTCTTCATAATACTTGTAATACTTCAAACTAAGTTGGCTCCACAAAGTAAAAATAAGCTTTATTTTATAGAAATGAAAAAAGTACATTAATTCTATTATTGTGAAAATGCTGTTGGTACAATTCAGTCTAGGTATGACTGAACATGTTAATCAAGTAGACAATATACTTTTAAAATTCCGAGTCTTGAAAAAATACTAGACCTTGTGAAAATATTTTGGGAACTTTTCTATTATTTGTTTGTTTTCTGGTTATCTGATCTTATTACACAGCTGATTTTTAAAACAGCTATCTATAAATCTAATATTTACATTTCTAATTTTGGAATGGTACAGTATGTGTCTCTCGTCACTTGTCCCCCTTTGTCTGTCATGAAAGCCACTTGAAATGACGAACTAGGTCATTTCATTATATATAAATAATGTAAATTTGTTGTAGAAAATATTTAATTGCACAATGAATCTGCCACCAGTTCTGATTACATAACTTCAATCCACTTCCCAGGCTGCATTCATATGGTCACCGTTAATAATAATAATTATAATAATTGCTTACACTTAAATAGCGCATTTCTGGACACTCCACTCAAAGCGCTTTACAGGTAATGGGGACTCCCCTCCACCACCACCAATGTGCAGCATCCACCTGGATGTTAACCAGGTTTTAGTCAAAATACGAACTTTTAAGAAAAATGTCTGTATTCGAGTTGTTATTGATCAGATTTTCTTTTCTAGTAGCTTTTTAAAATTAAAGACTCAGTGTTTGGTTTGTATTCTTCATTCTGTTCTATATTAAGATGCCTCATTTGTATTATTTTAGCTGAAATATGCTGCAAAGCATGGCTATCTTAAAAAGAGGTGAATTGTAGCATTTTATTCCCAGATAACAGCACACAAAGATTCTCACTTCATTTTTTCCGTAACAACACACGCATACTCTTAGCGAAAGCAGCATTACCACCTGGTTGTCTAATCTTGACAGCTTTGAATTAAAAGAAGAGTTGGATAAGAATGTCCATTTCAGAACAGTAACACTGACCACAGGACGCAAGTCCTCCTATAGTCCTGTAGGAGGTGCTGTCCCTCAAATGAGCAGCTTAACTGAGGTCTTCACCAAAGACCATAAGAAAGGTCACAAAAGAGGAGATTCCATTCAGTTGTTAGATGAACCAAAGATCTCATCCAGTTGTTTCTTTTTGGCCTAAATAACATGACTGGGTAGCCTGTTCCATGTAATTCTATGTTGCGGATTTCTTTGTGGCCTAAAGGTAGGTTGAGCACACTTGCCTCACATGGGTAGTGCTTTCAGGACTGAATTGTCTCACCAGGATAAAACTCTGATTATATATAAGCATTAAGGAATAAATATTTCTAAAATACAGATCATTATATCACCAAAAGTATTTTTATACGTACTGGCTTTTTTATCAAAAGCTATATTATAAATCGATATTTATATTTCTTTGATATGTGGGTACACAATAGCACTGCAAGTCCCTGTATTGCAGCAGAGAACGTGATAAATTGCTATTCATTTGCCACTGAACCAAAGATTCTTCTAGTTGCATTAGAGAGCTAATTTTTGCAGAGGTAAAATTATGCTCCTTGTTGAATGAGAAACCATGTCTAAAGAGAGTAGGGGTGTGCTCTGACTTGGACAACAGAACTCCAATTAGCAGCCAAACCCAGTTATAATGAGCAGGCATTACACAGTCATGTAAACAATGAGCAAATCAAGTTAAATCTCCATTTTCTGTGCAAACCATCTTGTAATTTCCTTTCTTCAGGGAGAGCTGTCAGAGCTAAAATTGCTCCAGTTTCAGTCCATTATGATGTTGCTACCTTACAAGCCATATTTTCTGCGCCTTTTTTATTTTTCAAATACAAGATCAAAATTCATCTGTGAAATGTCATCTATCATTACAAATTAACGGTGTCATTTCTAAGATTGTGTAAGTGGCTTACTGACGTGAGAGATATTAGTTGTTACTTGTAGGGCTTACTTTGTGTGTGTCTCTTTTGTTTATTGGACCTCTTCTTTTCAGCTTGTGTGATGTAAACTTCATTTTTATTTGTACGTGTTAAGGAGTGTTTATTTCCCGCTTTACTCACTTTAACCTTAACTGAACTGTAAACATGATACACCTCAGTTTGTGATTATTTTTTAAATTTTCTTATTTGATTTGCCCCTGGCGTGCTACCAGCTTGTCAGTTCGACATCCTGCACATGTTAGTTTCTTCCCATGACTCCCCTGGTTTTGGTTAACTGTTCATTTTGTTTAAATTGTCTTGCAAACACTGCAATTTGACTTGCTTAGTCATTCTTACATGGATCAGTGCAATTATATTTAATCCCTCTGCAGTAACTGTTCTGTGTTTAGTCTTACAAGAGCACGTGTGCTGCTGAGCTTTCCAGCTTTAAAAAACAAACAGCCGCCACAAGTCCATGTTGTACTTTTACATTTACAATAGATAAAGAAATGAAGATTCTAATTTGTGTAAATATGTGTAAATATAGGACTGGTGTGGACTGGGGTCATTTCTCTGGTGCTTACAAGCTATGAGCATCTGCAAAATTATACCGTTGTGTGAAGTACATTAATTATACTAACAATGCCTATCAGAAGGAACAATGATTCGCCCACATTACCAGCATGACACCAGAACGAAAGGTCTCTCATTACTAACTCTGAGATGGGTGTTTATTTTGCCGCATATTCTGCAGATAGACAACTAGAGAGGAAAAAAAGTGATGGATTATCTAATATTATATTCAGCACTCAACCTCATGAGAAATGTTTATGGGGAAAGTAGCACGTTTCTTCCAGCAAAACCGACAAACAGTGTATTCAATATATATATATTCGCAAATTGCTCAGTAAATTTGGTAACATGTTGAGGCCACTGAAAGAATGCCCATCTTAAATGAATAAAAATATGTGATACAAAATAACACAATGGAACATTCCAAGCTATTCTGTAGAAGCCTAATGGTTTTTTTACCATTACTGGTACCCATTACTTGTGCATTTAAGAGCTGCAAATTGTATTGTGGCTATTACAGCAAGCATTGATTTATCATTTAAGTCTGGGATCTCACACAGATCATCTTGAAAAATTGTCATAGGTTATTGGAAAACAATAGTTTCAAATGCCATAGTGCAGACTCCACACAGAGCCAGCTTTGAACCTAAAGATACTGGCGCTGTGAAGTAACCAGGCTTCCCAATGCACTCCAATGCCAACCTCCTGTATATTTAGTTTAATTAAAATGGGTTCTAAATCAGTAGTAGGGTATAGATGTCAAATTATTGTTGCAGAAAGCAAATAAATGTTTATTTAACATTTTACACAATGTTCTCAAATGTCAAAGTGAACCTTAACATTTTGCAAAATACTACAAAGTAATTGTTTTGGGATACAATAATCATAAGATTTAAAAATAGTCAACGTTTATAAAATTCTAATAAGATTAACGGTGTAGTGTTGGAAGTCATCTACCTGTTCCATTGAAATAAAATCTTATAACGAACAATCCAGCTTTCAATGAGTATTTCAGAAACTACTGTGGTGCTACGCCCCCTGCAGACTTAAAAAGAAATTGCAGCACTTTTGCCTTGCCAGTTTACTGTATATCCCTTTTCATGGATACAAAAGGTAGTGTGGAGCTGTTTTAATACCGTATACACTGGACTGTAGGTAATTTGTATTTGTTTTTTGTTTTCAAGGTAATTAAATTATGTAAAAATGTGAGCGGGTAAACATTTACTGTACTTACACTGACCTTCCCCCTTTCCAAACTTCATTTTAGAAAAAGCTTTCCAGTCACACTTTTTCTCAAGTGTTCAGATTAACTTTGTTAACTTAGCACATGGACACGACCTTTAACAGATAAACTGGACCCGTAAGCAAATTTAAAAAGAAACACGGGGGTAAATGCAACTTGAATTTTCTGGGTGCACATTATTAGTCTTAGTAACCTATTTTGCTGCTGTTTTTTTCAAATGAAAAAGCATGCTTAATTCCTCAAAGTCTTCAGCAAGAAAATTCTAACAATACCAAATAATTTTACATTTGTACCTGGTGTCTGAGGAATGCTGGGGGTTTTCTAATGTGACAGAGAGACACAGCTTATTATTTTTGGTCAATATCTTGATTTAGACTAAGATACAGTATTATTAAAAATCTCGAATGCTCCAAGCTACATCATATCTTAGGTTCTCAAAATAAATTACAACTAAATTTCAATACAAAAATTCATATTGACGGCTACTTTAAAAGTCCCTTTCTCAGGAATACAGTATGATCAACGCCAAGAGCCACTGATGAATTCACCAGGGCATTTGGAAATTACATCAGGCTAAGAAACTATTCCATATTTTAATACTAATGACGTCGTACTTTCCATATGAACTTAAAGATTATAATTTTCATTTTAGTTTTTTTTTTTAATATGACGACTTTAATGGGGAGAGAGAGATAATAGACTTTATAGGATAATAGACTTTTAAGGGATAGCAACCCAGACTTGCAATAAGGGTATCAGATCTGACGGCCTCCTTCCCAGTAGTCCCCTTGACTTGATGATCCCCCTGTGAACTCAGAAATGAAAGGGGACCTGGAGCCAAAGAAAAGTTTAAACGCTTCCATATGCTCCCCACATTCATTCTGCCACGTCAGGCATTGTGATCAGAAGAAAGTGGTGCTTTCAACTATGACTACAACCCCTCCCTATTACAGACTGTGCATCTGGTATTAAATTTCATAGCACTCAAGAGCAAAAGAGCAAACTTGAAAGAAAACAGAACATATATTAGTCAAATATAACTGCATTAATTGATTTTTAATTTAATAAAATACGTGTTCATTTTTAGTATTTGTCATCAGCTCTCTCTAGCCCACTGTTCTAGCAGAAAGGAATCTTACTTCCTCACCTTTGGAATATCCTGCCATATGACCAAACTTCAAAGATACCGCTGTTTTAAAAGTCTGGTCTAAAAACCAGAACATCATAGACCCTGTAATTTCACCTGATGAGAAAAAAATCCCAAAATACAAAGACAGTTCCTAGTACTGCTATCATACTGTATTTTCAAACCCTGTCATAGGCTAAAATGTTTTTTTCTTTAGCTTTAACTTTGCCATTAAACAGAAACCGGCCACCTTGAGGAAGATTATTTTTATTTGTTTATTGATTTCCCTTTGGGATTGCAATCAAGTCAGCAGCTGACCGTAACTCAGAATTATTTGAAGAAGGGACTGTAGACTCTCTTAATCTTCATGGTTACAGATTTGATGTTGACTGGGACTCCATTGAGAGTCCATGTGTCCCAGTGGATATGGGGCTGCATGGCACGCTCCATATCCGGAGCACCGCCGTTGAGATTGGCCATTCCACACTGGTTAAACCACCAGCCTGTACCGTTGTTTCTGGCACTGCAGCTCTCCACGGCTTGGCCATCAAAGACGCAGAAGGGACGGCAGCTGTCGTTGTCAACATCCGACGTGCTGAACGGCATCGAGTTCTGGTTCTCCTCCTGGCGGTATCCTCGAAACGCATCTCCTGGGGGGGAAAAAAATGACAACAGTCTTGTGGATTGTATTCGGGATGAGATAACACAACTAAAGAAAAATAAAGCAACTTCTATAGTATTGTAACGCACACGGCCATCAGGGTGTGTAAGAGCCGGCTTACCAGAGCGGTGACGTCGCCGCCCTTCCCTGTGATAGCAGGACCACAGCCCCTGGGCTGTGGAGAGATCTCTCTTTGGCTCACCGGGCTGTGTCCCTGCTGAGTGACGCGGGAGTCCCGGGTCCGAGCCCCCGACGGTGGGGGGCCGACCTAATGCGGCAAGGGCGCCTGCCTGAACCCCCGTTGCGATACAGTATATTCAGCAATAAAGAAAAAGAAAATGTGCAAATCGTGAGGAAAGAACAGCGTTCCCCTCACCTGCACTCCCTGCATATCGGCCCAGGTGGATCTTGAAAAACCTGGTTTCGTCTTCTATCCAGAAGTTGTCATACGAGGCGTAGGAGGAAGTGTCGTCATCGGAGACGAGGGCCACGTGCAGCTGGAAGTTTGTGTTCTTTTGGTTCACGATGTGGTAGACCTTGCGAAGGCCCAGCCAGTGCTCTCCTACACAGAGACACGGTCACCTTCTAGCTAGTTTCCTGTAACATTAGCACGTTTTTTCAATATAGCTATTTTGTCATGGATTCTTTCAGCCTGATCTGCAGGCTTCAGTTCGGAAAATGAATCTGTACATTGCTATGTTTATGTCACGAATGTCGGAAGGGCATGCCGTGGAGTGAAAAGGAGAGCAGTAGAGACCCTATGCATATCGGTAAAAGGGGCAACACAGGGGTTAGCCCAGGTTCAGGGGGTCAGACAATGCCAGAAAGAAACCAATGCCCTCAGTCCATGGACAGGAGCGACCTGCTGCTAGGTGGGTCTCAGGAGATCCGTACCCTCAGTGCTGAGCCAGGAGCAGAGCAGACACAGGAAGTAAATGCGCTACACACCTGAATAATGACAGGGAACTAAGAACTGGACAGAAGTAGTGCGCCCTCTAGGTGTAAAGAGCATGACGGTTTAAATGTAATTTATGTAATCTTATTCTACAGCATGCTATGACTACTGTCACTTTAGTTATTATGTTTTACCAGGTAGGTGGCCAAATCCATCCATATACTCTGACCATTCTCTTTTGAAGTCAATGAGGCCATCTGATCTCCTCTGAATTACAGTCCATCCACCACCCATATAATCCATTTCACAGAACACCTGCAGTTAAAAAACAGCTTTAGTTATTTTTAGTTTTCTTCCAAACACCTAATATTTAAAACCAGATGTTTGACAGGCCTGCCTAAAATTGAATGAACAGTTTTAAAGAACCATCACTGGTTATTGAGACAGAAGTATCAGGTCTGATTTTGACTTCAGTAAGAATGATACAGCCTGTTGTTCTGTACAAGGTGGGCTGCTGTGATAAGCTGAATCATTGTGAGATGGCTGAGGCTGTACAAAAGCAAATCTTATGTATCCAAATATTCTTAAGAAAACAGAAACGGGTAGAAATGCGTCCAACTACTCATTTAAGAGCTAACTTGTTAGATAATTGTTAACTTAGGGCTCTAACTTTTAAATAGAAAATAGATTAAAATAATTTATGTCACATGTAAATAACCTGGAAGTGCATTTAAAACTAAGAATGGAAGGCACTTCATTACCCAAAGGATTGAGGGATTATAGAACAAACTTCCCAGCCGTGCTATTGAAGCCGATACCCTGGCTTCTTTCAAGAAACAACTGGATGAGATAATTGGATCATTTAACTACTAACAGCTTAAATGGGCTAGATGGCTCAAATGAATTTGTAACCAATAAACCAATACATTTTTGTTGTTTTTGTCTGTTTTGTCATTTTGTGTGTTTCAACATAGTTTATTTGTTACCTCAAATGGATAGTCAAGTCCTTCTGGCTGGATTATGTAAATACCACTTGGAGTTTTGGAAATGGACTGTACTGTGTCTATAATATCACTGCAATCACGCCCTAGAAACAGTAATCAACATGAAAATATTAGCAGAATCAGACTGTAAATGACACAGAAAGATGTTTCCACCTGTGGGACAAAAAATATCAACCAATCATTTAACTTTGTTTTCCACTTTAATAACATTTAGATTTGCCTCTCATACCATATATTTATTATATTCACTATTTATTCTCTATTTAAGTTTATAATTTAATTAACAAAAACACTACACAAATTATCCCTTTAGGGATAATTTCTCATAAAAGATCGTTACAGTCATCTTCTTGAAATGTAGTATATACAGATAGATACAGTAAGTATATCATTTATACATACAGTATATACATTTATGGCTGGAGGCCCCACGTGAGTCTCTTGGGAAAGCCAGTTTACACAATAATAACATACACAGTTCCATAGCTCACAACAATTATATCAATATTCCAACACAAATACAAATACCTTCTGGTACCAGTTTAGGAGTCGTAGTTACACTCATAGTCAAGAGCTTTGGCAATGATTTGGCTTTATACATCAGTGACCAGTGTAGAAAAGACAAAAAAATAGGCTTTAACATGAGAGAGGTAAATGTATGACCTTACCATGTGATTGTACTGGCTTATGTGGAAATGGCTCAATGTTGTTCTTTAAGACTTCTGTACTGAGTGTCAGAACTTTGTTCATCAGTTCCCTTACCTGTGAAAATAAAAGCAAAGTTCAAGGTGTATATAAAACTGATTAATTTAATCTTTATTGCCCCTAAGGAAATTCCTCTCGGGCATATCAAGAACTCATAAACACTTTACATGTTTATAATGATTATACAATAACAACAACAGTACAATGCCATAATGCAAAACAACATTTAACAACATCGCTCAATCAGAACTCTTCTCCTACCATAAGATGAAAATAATAGGCAATTAACTTGTAGAGACTTGTTTTTTCCCCCAAAAAAAACAATAAATAAACATAATGAACATAAAACAAGAAGAAGATCCCTACCAGAAAACACTATTCCACAATTGAATAATGTTTTAGGTATAAAGGAATTAAATGCTCTCTTAGTCTTTAGGGAATCATGTTCCTCCTCCTCCTAGAGCTCTAAATACAAAAGGTAAGAATGCTCTGAATAAAAATGTCAACATTTTGCTTTCTGTTTAAAAATTAGTTTTCGTTTTAGAACTAGAAAAGCTCAAAAAACACTCTCATATGTCACTAGTACCTTCTGAAACGGCAAAAGTCATTACATTTCCACGAAAATAGTCCAACTGTGTTTGGATTCTTTTGAGGCTGTTATCCATTCCTAACTGCCACACATCTCATGCAAGAAAATGTACATTGCTATAGCTTGCCTGGCTTGAAAGAAACTCCAGTGATTTCTGGTGATCCTCCATCATGCCTCTAATCATTTTCCTTGTGCTCCTCGTGTAGGAAACAAGAGAATGGTGTAAGTTTCCTTAAAAAGATAGATAAAACTGCATTAATTTGTGGTATCAATTCAGGGTATACGGGTCGTGGATATAAGCCAAACCCATTCCGTGTACACTTTACTTTTAAAAACAGAAAGTCAAGTCCACAGTCCTCAGTGTACGTACTGCACATCAGGTGTTTCTCCTCCTTCATGAGCTTTGCTGACATTTCACATTGCGTAAGGCAGGTCTCATGCCTGTTTTCTCTTGATGGCTTGGAGAGTCTGGGTTTCATGTTTTCACCATGGTATTTTCCCTTCGCCGTTGTAGACTGATTTATAGCTGAACTGCTTTCACTGATTTCCTTTTAGCAGACAAAGAAAACATTTTCAATCATGCCAAACTGATCGGGATCACATAGGCTTATGTTAAGTCATCTGAACCAATGCGTTTTATAAAGTTCTATAGTTACCCGCTAATCTAAAATGTAAACAAGTGAACTCTTTTTCTTATGTTTTTGATTAGCTAAATCTTATGTACCTCCAAAAATAATGAACTGATGAAACACATTTTTCATTTTATTTCTTTTCATTTTGTTACTAAGACATTAATAAAATATCAGAAGGTAGACTATTTATTTTTTTAGCCAGTGCATAAGTGGATTTAATATTTTTTTCAGCTTTACTTAGTTCCTCATGTGAGCTGTATCTTTAAATATGTCTCTGGAAACACTGTTTTATATTTGTACTTTTTGCCTGCTGGCCAAGAATACGTTTTTGCCAGGACCCAGGCAGGAATGCATTTTCTTGTATCCCCTAGTTTGTGTTTATCTTTTTATTATAGAACTGAATATCTCATTCCTCAAATAGCAAACAAGTATAACTAATCTCTGTATGTCACCCACAACATCATACTGACATTTTTTTTTATTTTGTTTTAAAGAATATACCCCATAAACCACAAGACCTCAATACTTGAATGGGGAAAACCCATTAGCATGGCACATTGGAAGCAGAAACAATCAATTTCTTCTCAGGAGATTAGCTTCAGTATTTAGGTAGATTCTTAATGGTGACATTGCATTAGAATTTCCCAATGTGTTTTGCATATAAATGATCATAGTTAATACTGTGGCAAATTCTTCCTAATTTTAAATCTAACAGATCACAAATATCTAACAATTATAGATGCATTAGACTACAGACTGGGCTGACATACCAAGAACAACTGTTATGTTTCTCCTCTTTACTCCAGGAGAATTTGAAGTTTGTTAAGGTTGGAATTAATTATCAAATGTTGAACAGAGACATGCAAGCTGTTTCCTGTTTCTCTATGTACAAAAATCCAATGAAACTTCAAAGGTTGCTTTCTGTTAGGAGTGCATTTAATTAACGCTTAAATCATTAGAAGCAACCCTAAGTGTGAATGTGAATCTGTCCCTTCTATTCACTCATACTGTACGTCTTGAAGAATGAAAAAAAGTAAAAAGGGATTGAAAATATTTTACAGCACAGATGTCTCCTTAAACATGTACAGTGGATGCATATATGTATGTATGTAGCTCATCTATGTTACCAAACAGTTCCATGCATCTTGTGTTTTTTAAGAAATGCAAACTTTAAAACACACTTTAATACTGCACATACAACTCCGAAATTCAATTTAGAACTAAATTCAAGTGCTCTGGTTCAGTTTTTTTTTTTCCGTACAGGAAATAATAGCAATTTTAAGATATCTAACAAAAATACATACCACAGAGTTGGTCGATGTTGTCTGGATGTCATGGAGAACAGATACAAACAAAACTGGGAAGAAAAGCCTTTTCATTTTCCTTTAGGAAGACGTTTTCTAATGTGCTGGTCGGTTTACTGAGTCTCATGAGCCCTCGGTACCACAGCTTCAGGAACTCAAGACGCTCTGCTGGCATCTGCACAACAGCAAAGAGCCAAAACAAATGACTTTCTCTCAACTGCTGAAAGCGTTCAGGACAGGATATGATTTGGGACTGTGTCAAATCAATTTAAATATTGTGCACTGCTGTGTTCTTTTAGCACTGTTTAGTTTTGTATTGCACAGGCATATCACAAAGCGAAATGCTAGACAAAAATGTTGAGCACTGTTTCTTAATTCAGATTTACCAAGAAACAAACAATAACATTTCTGCAAAATGTAACTTTAACCCTTTAACAGCTTCTTTAGAAAGCAGCACAAGTTTGCTGTTATTTTCCTAAAAATAGAGTAAAAAATACAGTGTATATAAATTCCACAGTATTGAAGAAAGATTGCCTACAACTACTGGTATGTACAAGATGCTTATGGAATGTAATTCTGTGTCTGTAATGTGCATAGTATTTTGCAGTATGGTTCATCTGTTCACACTTGGAGCTCCACATAAATTCCTTGCCCTTCAGGTTTTATAGACAAAACCAGGGGGAGCACATTGTAAAGTGAGATTTTATGTACTCTGCATCTGCAAAGAATTACGTACAATATGCAACATACAGAAATATGTTTGCTAGACTAGTATGTTTATTGACTTAAGTTTTCATACAGTATTTACAAATCTGAAGTGTTAGCCTATTGGAAGACCACACACCCAACAGTGAATAACAGGTTTCACTGAGTAGTGGCAAACAGGCTCAGTGAAGCAAAAGGCATAATATTGTGCCTTGGAAGGGATTTTAGAATAATTTTGAAATCAGAAAAAGATCGTAATTATTGAAAAGACATGAAATATTAGCTGACATCAGAAATTCAGAACAGTAGCACACATTTGCCGAAATGCAAAACATAAATTGTTATTCTTTGGGAGGAGCTCTGAATTAAAATGTCAGTTAAATTATTTGATCAAGCAAGTCTATGCCTTAGTTTTTTTGTACCCTAACCCTAAAACACACGAGTACGCTGATCATCATCAAGTGTGTAAAATCGACAAATTGTGTCCATGTTTATTGCAGTTATAATAAAGTAGTAGTAGGATAGGTAAACATAAATAATTATTTATAAGAATAAATAATTATTATAGGAATTATAATTGCGATAACAGCTATAATCTGCCGGACTTCTCCTGCCGTCCGTCGTTTCCTCCTTTTCTCGGCCCCACTCTCAACCTGCGCCTAGTTTCCGTTGTCAAGGAAGCGGCGTCTCTGGTTGTCAACATGGCGGGGCTAATTAATCTAGAGGTTCAGCAGAGCAAAACTTTTACTTAGCTGGAAAACCCAGTCAAATTGTCAACGCTGAATTCGGAAATAAGAAAAAAAATGAGAAGCAACAGAAGATCATAACGAGCGCTTGACTACAATGGCACATCGCGCCGCAGTTTCAACGTTTTCGTTCACACACAAACTGTGGGTTTATTTTGGCGTGAAGCGGAGGACAGCCGGCTAGCGCATTTCGGAATACAGGCTGGGGATAATCCGTTTCTTAAAATACGTGTACGATCGCTGAACTTGGTTTGAATGAAGATTGTGACCAGTTTGGAGAACTCTTCAACGTCGTCCCATCCTGGGATTCAGGATGCACGTCCAGAGGGCCAGCTCCTATTCGTATCCTTAAATCGATGTCTGTTTAGTTATAAGTCTATTTCTTTTGCTAGAAGCTACCTCAAGATCCTAGTTCTAGAAATGTTTTTTATGACGTTGTTGTTGTTGTTGTTGTTGTTGTTGTTGTTGTTGTTGTTGTTAACCACCTTCAATTACTATTGGTGTAGGTACTGTATAGTCATTCATTAAAAGACCAAATATTTTCAGGCAGTGTGCTTCAAATTTGATAGACAGTCATCACAGAATATTCACTTACTGTATTACACTTTTTTTCCTCATTTTGGACTAGCTAGCTAATTTATTTGTATTTTTCCTTATGAGTATCTTCACCCGCTATTGATGCCAGTGTATATATGCGTGTGTGTATGAGTCTATGTGTATCTGTCAAAGTCATATCACTTTGCAATCTGATCTGAGTATTTTGGCCTTTGGCTGACAGAGATCATTTAGAGGTAAGAGGTATAGCAACTACAATTAAGTTACAAAACAAGGAAAAAATGTTTAGATATATATATACCTGTATACAGTATTGCTGCTTTTCATAGTGTCTTACATTTGTCTGCTCCGTTACCTCCTTTGCCATTATAGCGACCACCATACTGCACTGTAAAAAGGGAGTGGCATAATTTGTGTGACCGCTGCACTTGGCAATCATAGCACAACAAACAAGCAAGAAGAAAAGCCTTTCCCCAGCTTTGTGAATGGTTTTCAGTCACTTGATAGCATGGATGGATTCTTATCTTCAGTTTTTTCATAATTAATTTAATGTAATGACCTTTGATAACTCAGTTTTTCCTTTTCCCCCCCCCCTAGTACTTAATTCAGATTGGAAACTTTCTGAAATTGCAGTAATCCAACAAATGTTTTAGAAACTAGGTATTGCAGACTATTGTTTTCCTTGTGGTAAATAAAGATGGACCACTGGTAGTGTACTATTAACACAAAAGCTTCCCTTTTCAGCTCATTAAAGGCTGGCTCTTTGTGGGTTTTTATTTTTAACTTTTATGCTAGACCCTTCTTTGACGGGCCTATATTTTAATGTGCATGTGCTCCTGGACTACTGCGCAACTGGTGAAGGCAAAATCTCCTTTTTACCCCCATGTCTTGAAATTCCTTAACGTTGTCTGACGTTAGAAATATAAAAACAGAGCTAGAACGGCCGTTGAAAGATGACCGTCAGGTTCTGGTTGAGGAACAGAAGGCATGCAGAGCTCGTGCTCGAAAATTCTCCTTGGAAACCAATCGACGTAGGAGGTATGTTTGGTACTGTATGTTGTTTTTTCTTGTATTTTAAGAGGTTAAATTCAGTTGCAGTATCCACAAAAATATATAATTTATACTCATACAGAAAAGAAATGCATCACTATGATCTACTGGATTAAATAAAATATATATCATAACAAGAACTCAAAAACTGTGCACTACATACAGAGCTGATCAATCATGAGACCATTTCACTATTAAACATACTGTCAAAATGAAGACATTACAAAGTTAGTATTGTGTTTGACCTCCCTAAGCATTCAGACAATCTTGGCAGTGTTGACCTGAAAGTTGTGAATAGACTGTGCATGGGATGTTGCACCACATGCAGCCAGATGGTGAAGGTTGGCCAGTTGTGTTTTTTTCTATTGATGGTGTGGGTGAATAATTCCCACAAGTGTTCTGTGGGACTCAGATCAGGAGAAAAAGCTGGCTACTGTACACATTAACAAGTCCTTTCATGGACAGCGATGCCAACATCAGCCAGCAGTCCTCATTATTCAAACAAGACGCGGCTGTATCTTTCACCTTCTTTGCATTAATTGAAGCATTTTTGTTAATTACTTTCTGAAGGGCTATTGATACTTATTCTTAATCACTTTATTTTGGCAATTAATCCAATTCAGGTATCAAATACTGAGTACGTGGCATTTTTCCGAAGTCACATGACTGTTTTCATTGTTTTTCAGCATACAGCATGTAGAAAACTTTTTGTAAAGTTGTACTAAAAAACATCTGTTAACAGAAAAGAGGCAACTTGAACAGAAATTGACAATCACATTTAATGTGTTTGCAGGAAGCACTGGAATTGTTAGTTTTTTTTATTATAGCACTAAAGATAAGCATTAATATCACATAAACATATAAGAAAAAAGTATGTTTTCGCACCAATCCCATAATGTTAAATTATGAGGCTGTACATTGCCACCAATCCAGCTGATGGTGTAGTTTTCCTATGCAGAACAGTTGTAGCAGTCAGTGAAAATGGTTTGAAGGAAAAAAGAGAGATCCTGTTATTCAATACTTCACTTGCCAGCAGGATTTCGTCTGCTGAAATTAGATTTCTTAATTGGTAACGGTAATGCAATTTATAAGAGGCAAGATTAGATTGGCTAGACTGAAGTGTTCTGCTTAAAATGAGTTCATCCCAAGGTAAAGCACAAATCTCAGACAATTAATAACCTACTAAATCTCAGCATCTTAGCAGCTCCTGGAAAGAGATTAAAATAAAAGGTTCAGTAGAAAAAAAAATGTTCTGTATGTAATGATAGTAGACTAAATACTACAAACTGATTACTTTCAGAAGACATGTATGAAGTATTTTTGTGCAGCTTCTAAGAATAGATTCAAATTGCTATCTTTGTCGTAGTTGCAGTTTAGTATTTACTTTCATTCTGTACTGAACTTGGACATCGCTTTAACCTCTTTGTCTTTGTTAGAATGCTGTCAGGTTGGAAATTTAAGTTTATTTGTAATTAGAAAAAAAACTATTATTTACATCAGCCTTGATACAGTATACTGCAAAGATCCTGTATTAATATACAGTAGGATCTCTGGTGTCATAGACACTTAACAGCTGGAGTTCATCTACTGAGTTGCATTTGTCACCAAAACAAATATGGTCTTTTATTTTTTAATCTCAATATTGTGTTGAAAGAAGCAATAGTCATAATATTTCATTACAATACAGCGATCTAAATACATTTCCATCCCAATTTATAATTTTTGTTACAAGTCTCTAACCCAGATTATTCTGTAATATCTTAATGGTACTGTACAGAATATATAGTTGAAATGTTAAAACTGATAGTCAACACAGTGACGACCATTTAAATAGTATTATGTTATTTATTTTATATCCAATTATGTATTACCAATTTGTTTGTGTTGCTGTTTTCAATAAGGCAGTTGGGATCGATACATTTTTAGTATAAGAAACTTTTATTAGTTATTTTAATCGCTTGAACAAAGCTTCTAAAGATTATCCATCCAGGCTGAATACTTTTGAACCTTATGTGATCAGCTTTACTATCACCTGTATGTTCAAAGAACCTGTCCTGTGTCTGGCTTCTAAAACGTGGCTGTGAGTAATGAGTTTGAATAATTCATGAGGATGCGGAAAAGTTTTTGCATTTTAAGAACAAGACAAGATTCAGGTATGATAAGTAATTTTGCCCCTTAGAATGTAAGATTAAATGATTATGTTTGTACTAAGGTAGACTGTACTGAAGTTTAAGATTAGTTTGAAGATCTTTCTTAAGCAAAATTAGCATTCTGTACCTCAGGATGTTAATTTATTGAATTTGCATGATTGTTTTAATTTAATTAACATAATTATTTCATGTATTCTCATTGTAAGTAGTTCAGTTTCTCCTTGGTTTCACTAATTTCTTCTTGTCCTGCTTGTTAATTGTACCTTGATGACAGTATATACCTTTTCCATTTTTCTGCAGAGCTCTGGAGGAGAAACGCAGGGAAGAGGACATCAGGGAGCAGAAACTGAGGGAGGACATACTCCAGCAGCGCAAACAGAAAGTGCAGGAGGCAACCGAGAGGTTTCAGAGAGCTCATCTCCCCCCCTCACAAAGAAATAGACAAGGTGGGAAAACATAGACCTGATCTGCAGTTAAATTACTTAAATGTCCACACTGTTTGGAGCTAACCATACTGAATACAGCACTTGCTCATTTCTGATGTTATCAAAATAGAGTGTCTGTATTGCCACAGTACAGAACAGGATTTTAGCTAGGGCCGTATTGCTAGTATTGAAACCATTGTCACTTCTTCAGTATTAAGTGGTTCTCTGATTTGTGCCACTGGGACGTTCTTCTCACACTGGAGCATTTTGCCATCAATTTGTCTTTTTACCAACTGTTAGTGCCCAACTGAGAATGCTTTTCATCCTTAGCTGACAAGAGAATTGCTGTCAAGCTCTCCAGGATCTTACGCTATTATGGAAAAAAAACATTGTTTTAAACATGTTCAAATCTCTGGAGGTATTTTTCCTGCAAGTCTAAATGCACTTGTAAAACTCTGGAGAGGAACAAATCCAGTTCTGGAAGATTGCAGTCCAACGAGGGATATTCTTATGTGAAATGCTCCTTGAACAGTTAAGAAATGTAAGAAAATAAAATACTTTACTTTGCACGTGAAGTTTTTTAAGGCAGAAGTTTTTTTTTCTTTTTTTAGTTTACAGAAATCCAACCCCTCGATTAGAAGAAGCTTTGAATCAAATTCAGCCCTCTTTCAGTTCTTCAGCCCTCAATTCTTCACTCTACTCCAGAAGCCCTATCAGCAACAGGTATAAAAAGCTGCCACAGTTTAGTTTTTGGATAGCTAATTGTACACAAGCACTTAAAGCCCCCCCAAAATGTAAAACTTTGGACGTGCGCTGTTTATTTTTCCAAGTATATTTGTTATTTGAATACATTCCAAATTTGTAAGACTGTGTTTTTTTTTAATGGAAGCCTTATTGTAATTATGATACAGTAAAATGATAATTTCATGATAATCATAATATATTCACATCAGTAAATTGGGAATTGCAGTTATAGTTAGTGTCCACAAGATGGATTGTAAATTATTCTATTAAAGGACAAACAGGAGCCAACAGATGGCACTGTTGAATTTAGAGGTTTTCACAATTTCTTTGAGTCTTTTATTGAATTTTTCTTCCTAAAGAGTTAAGGAAGCAAAAGCTTTGCTCTTGTGAAGTTTTACCACCCACTTCAAATAAATTTTAATAGCCACTTTCACTTGTTTCATGAGGAGTAATTTGTTATACCTTATTCTTTCAAGGCAGATGAAGCTATTTAAGACAGGATGATTTTATTTTAGATGGTCAAAATCAAACAATGCTTTCACATTTCCAAAACTGCAGATATTTTTGGTATGTCCTTGAGTCACATTTATAGCTAATATTGTTTAACTATAACACGACAGGTGTGCAAAAGCAGACCTCCTAATATAACACTGTTTCTACAGGACCTACACATCCTCTCCAAGTTCTTCAGCAAGTTCCACTGCCTCTCATTACCAGAAGCAGTTGTCTGCCGCAGTAGCCTATGCCAAATTGATGCAGGAGAAGAGTGGCACTAATCTCAAGAGCAGCCAGATGCTCTTTCAGAATGAACTTCTGGAGACACAGCGCCTTCTGGAGGAGAGAAAGATGAATAGCCTGCAGGTAGGACTTCTCACACAAACATATCCTGGTCTTTCTGTCACACACTATCCCCTGTGTCAGTAATGAAATACCCGAGTTTGAGTGGAGAGCCCCTTTATTTTAAAAAACAGTGTTACCACCAAGGTTTTTAACCACTCTTTACATCAAATAATAACTTCAGACTGTGGAAAGTTTGTGTGGGTGTGTACAGCATGAATTATCACAATCACAAGATGCGGGATCCTGTGTATCTTTTTGTAGTTTTTACTCTGATGTTTATTTAAACTGACTTTTAGCCTTTGATTTAATGTCACTTAAATAAATAGCAGATTATGTACATTACACACTAGCTAATTGGCTTCTTTTCTGTAGTAAACATTTCTAAAATCTATGTTGCCCAAAGCTGACATGTTTCTTTGAGCCAGTGCTGTATTTCTTCAAGGATACATTTATGTCTTACTCAGTGAAGGGTGCCAGCTTACTGTCATTCGTAAAGAAAACAAACTAAACCCCACTTCTCCCCCTGGCTGGGCCCCACTTCGTTCACTTTTGAATTTGAACTGAAGAAGGTGCTAAGCAGAACTTGTAGAAATACATTTTTGTGTGTTATGCTTTTATTTCCACCACTAGAAACATCAAAGGTGCAAGTAAACCTTATTTAACAGGTATCTTCTCAAAGAAACAACCTTATAGGTTGCTGTATTGCATGCAGAGTAATGAAAATAAAAAGTGCTGATCTTTTTGGACACTGGATGAAGAAAATGGGAAATGAGTGTTGAAACTATGCTTACTCGGTTAATGTCACCTCTTTATTACATGTCCTTGGGAACGTTGAAATAGTGCATTCTAGTAGTTAAAACAGTTCAATACTGAGAGGCACTGATTGTAAATGCCAGATCAGTTTGACATTGATACTTATTTAAGTCTCTGACAAAAGGCCTGAGCTTCAGAATTTGAATCTGTATTTGTTCTTTTCCTTATGTGAAGAAAATATGTCTAACATTCTAAACAATATTACCTTGCACTATCAGGTAATGAAACGAATAAGTGCAGGTGCCAATATAGATAAATATAGATACATTTCTTTACAAAAAGTCTTACCTTCTGGAGCCTTTTAATATGCTTTAATCACAATAGCCATTGTTTGCAGTTTTCTGGATGCATATTGCTCCTATTTCACAACAAACATCTGGTAATAGCACACTCTCAATTACACAGACTAAGCTAGTGCCTTTAACCAAGCACAGTCAGTCTCTTTTTCTTAACTTTGTGTATAGAGTTAAAAGCTTGTTAAGAAAGAATTTCATTTCAGAAAAAGTCAGTCTGTAATTTTAGCCCATAGCTCCACCTGCCAGGACCTGCTGAAGGATTAGTACTGCAAACACAGGTCCCTTTCACATGAGACGCCAGTCATGAAATGCTTTGGGGAGTTTATCTTTTGATTTGGGAGACAGATGCCTCTAAGTGATTATTCCAGTGTAACCAGTATGTTCCGAGAACTTGGATTTTGTATAATGGAGTACAGTTCTACTTTGTCGCCTATACCTGTCATGGTCCAGCACTTAATCCCCTTTAAATACTCAAGATCAGAATTATAATCTCACTGAAATGTGTCTTCCTTTTTAAAAGCAAGGTAATAGAAAAACCGGATTAGATAAAGAGGATATCAAAGGAGTAAGTCCATCCATAAATAAATACATTTTGTTTTAGCATAAGTGGACTACACTAAAACACTCTGAAGTACTGTAGTTACTCAAAAAAATATAGGATCATAAATTTCAGTCACCAAGAGCCTTAAAGTAGCGGTGTGTTTGATTGGTCTTTTTGGCTTTGCAGGAGTACTGTATAAGATGCACAAGTTAAACATTAGTGTTTTCTTTGTTACGCAATTCTGAATGATAAACATCATTGAAACGCTAAGAATAAAATACATATCCCACAGCCTAATGGGCATGATGGTTTAAAAACCTGTATTTTCCTAAATGTTTTCCAAAAGAGAATGAAGAGAAATATGCAATTAAAATCACATTTGTATTTTATTTTCCTCTTTAACTGTAAGACTGGTTTACATATCTTCGTATTTTTAGAATTGTCTAAAATATTATCAGTGTCTATGGACAAGCACTGTGACAATTATTGAACACATTGACAGTCTATTTTTCCCATGTGACAATCTATAAAAAACTATGTTGTTCTGAGAGTAACTTCCAAAAAGCTTAAAGTTGTGCAGGAAACATGTGTGAGAAAAGCTCCATGCATAATCATTTTCCCTTGCTACCAAATTTCAAACATTTAAAAAATATAATTTATTAGAAAAATATGGTGGAGTGTGATGCACATTTGTCGCAAAATAAGTGCAACCTGTATCTTCTGGAATTTTTTTAGTTGAATATATCCCTTTTGAAAATATCACAGAAGACCAGTTGTAAATCCCTTTAGAGGCAAATAAATATTTGATGTGGATAATCCTATAACATTCAACTTAAAGGTGTATCTTCTTAAGATTTTAAGATGCCAGAGATCAGTTTTAAAGCTGATTCTAACTAAGATTAACTGTGCTACCTGCTGCTGGAGCTTAGTTATTGTAATGCCTCAGAGAAGCACAGTTTGTCCTTGTAGATTTTTTTAAGAGATTCTCTTTATTTTACTGGGTTCTTAATTTAAAAGGGTCATTATGTTTTCTCAGCTGTTACAGTACAGCTAAATTAATCTCCTGTATAAAGCCTGCTAAAATGACTTTAGCTGGTTAAAATGTTTTAGCGGTGATAAACACAAAGGAAATAGATCACCTTATGAGTGAAATATCCGTTCGTACATCATAACATAGTTATCCTGTTTACTACTTTTACTTTGTATTTTCTGTGTATTTTAACTTTTTCTTCTTTAAATTGGAAAAATAGTTATTTAAGTTTGGTAAGTCTTGCCAATGAAAAAACAGTTCTTTGTTGTATATAATCTATTTTTCTTCTTTTGTCAAACATCCTGCATGTTTCAAATTGCAGAACCATTTTTGATTTTTGTGGTTTTCCTTTGTTATGTTTTGGCAAGAGTGCTCCTCAAAAGAAAACCTGAAATAGGCATCCTACATCAGCTTTTTGCGACTCACTTTTCTTAAGGAGCATGAAGTTGTTAGAAGGAATTAAAATGAACATTGAGCTGAAATGTTTTGGCCAAATTATGTTCTTTGTAAGTGTATAAAACTATGTTTCATTTTAGGATTTTGAAGAAGAAATTAGACAGCTGGATCGTTCAGAAAGCTTGTCAAGCCTGGACAGTTTAGAGAATGAACAGTCCGATCAAATCCCTAGAGCTGGTAAAAAAAATGTTACCTATTCTTCAGCACACGAGTTTGTACCCAGGAACTGCACTCAACCTCAGTTGCAGAGGAAGCACTTTAATGGCACATGTCCTGCTGCTAAAATAAACTTCCTTAAAGCTGAGAAGATTAGCCATGATCCGTGGAACCAAGACAGTATGATGTATACAAATTCTCAGACACATGTAATGTCAAAAAGAACTGAGGAATTGAGCACTAAGTATCTGAACAACACACAGCAAGCAATAACAGTGCAGCGCACAAATGAGGCATATTTTGAGGGTGAAAAAGAAGCTAATATAAATGCAGCCACATTGAGTAGCCAGAATACATTAACTGAGAATAAAAATGTGGATACTTCATCTAATGAGACTAGCCGTGATAAAACTCATGATGATTTTAGTGACAATTGCCCTAAAGTTATACCATCTAAAGCATGGAGCACTCCTGATCCTACACCAAAGGAAATACAGTTTTCCACTCAAGAGGATGAATCAAGGCAACAAGTGAAAAATCCAGCAGATAGGTATTCAAATCAGCCATTGGCAACTCAGATTGTTTTACCTACTAACCAGATTAGTGGCGAAGAAAATTTGAGCAATAAGTCTGCATCTCCTGGTACTTTACTAAAAATTGTAAACAAGAGTTGTACAGAACCAGATTGCCTTGATGTGAGCCTGACTGAAAATCCTAAATGCAGCCATTGTCCAAGGACTAATCAAATCGACCCAATTTATTCTAAGAATTACAATGATAAAAGCGAAAATTGTGAAAGTGAAAAATCCATTGATGTAGAATCGTCAAATCACGTAACAGACTCTCACAGGACTAAAAGTAGTATTTCCAAAACTCCCTTAACTCCTGGGGAAGAGAGACAAAAACTTTCAGACGCAAAACTATCAGACCCACCATCTACTTCTGTTGGTGGAACAAAGGGCATTAACGTTGTTAAAGGGATATTAAAAAAAGAATCAAAATACGCATCAGGTCATGCCAGCTCTGCGCTTTCTTCCAGCAGTGTCCATTTTACAAAACAGGTGGCAAAGTCTATCAGGGATAGCGTGGAATTGACAAAGCTGAAAGACAAAGATCTAGATAACAGTAAGACTAAAAAGAAGCTGCGGTGGTTTGATGAGATTGGCTTGAATGAGTCTGATGAGGTTAACAAGCAAAACCAAGCAAGGAGCAAATTATTTCATCAATCAACAGTAAAAAATAATATAAAAGATATTTCAACAGAACGTCAAGAGAGCCAGTTCCGGGTTTCTGCTACGCCAAGTGCCCCAGGGGCTTCCAAGACAGCCCAGACTACACAGGTCACAACCCCCTTGGTTTCTACTGGCTATCACTTCACGAAACAAGCTTGGGCAGACTCCGAGCACCAGGACAGTAAGCTGCAGGAACAAGGTATGAAGTCACAATTGGCAAATGCCTGTCAACGCAAAGGAAGGCCAAGGGTCCCTAGGAGAGTGCGATCTGCTAAAGCTCGATTGGGCACTGCTCCCAGCAAGACTAGAAGGGGTACCATAATCAGACCACAGTCTGCAAGTGAAGCTAATCATGTTTTGAAATCCCAGGGGAAAATGATTAAACCCAGCCCTCCTCCCAGACCCATATTTCCTCAAGGCAGGCAAGTTCAGAGTGCGAGCAGCAATGAGGAGACAGTTGGGCGTCCAACAAGGAATCTTTATAACGACACTCAAACTTTCAGCAAGGGAAGCATGCCAGTGGAACAGGCTTCATACAAAGACATTCCAGATGGCTGTGCTCTGCCTCAGGGCAGTTCCTTCACCACAGCTAGTGTCACGTTCACACCATTCCCACCCTCCTACACCTTATCCTCCTGCGAGACTGTCACGAAGGCCACTTATACTGTCAACAGTATCCTGGGCGGAGACCGACAAGAGGCCTTGACCACTAGACGAGGTCCCATCTATGGAGAGAATGGTCTGCGTCTGGACCATACCCCCACTGACGAGGAGATCTTGCAACTGTGGCACGGAGTTCGCAGTGCATTGGCGACCAAGGATGGTAATATATATACAGATTTACCTTCAACCTCAAGTTAATTAATTTGTCTGTTTGGTACTTGTTGTTGAAGATTATGTCATGAATTATAAGCTGAAGGTTGTTTTAGTAGGATGTATTGTATGTCTGTTTTTCCATTATTTTTGTCCCTATTTTCCATTGATGTATTAGAGTTAAAATAATCCATGTTGGCCTCCTGTGGAGGAGTGGCTCAACTGTTATGGATTGGTCAGTTCCACGGTCAGATCCAAGCCGAGGTCATCTCACTAGCCAGCATTGACATGGATTCTCCAAGCTATGGTGCACAATTGGCTGAGCACACTGAAGGTAGAGTAGGATTGCAAGCATGCAGTGCTGTCACTGAAAGGTCTGCCTCTCCTCCTGGTTGACACTGACCCTCCAGTACAGGGCGGTTGTTCCTGTGACATGTTTGAGCTAGGTGGTTCAAAGCAGTTTACACTCCTTCACTGTCCGATCTGTGCCATCTGTGCCAACTCTGAGCTGAGGTGTTAAAAACAATTAGGTAGTCCAAATAACCTGGGTGAACTAAAAGAAGATTCTGAATTTATAACGTAAGCGAATAATCTGAATAAAATGTTAAAGTAGGAAAGTACTCATGTACAAAGTCTGTAGAACCCAAGATCCTGCAGAATTACCCTTTTTCGTTTCATTAAAACTCTTAATTATTCACTTTTTTTACCATAATAAGATTATAAAAAACATGAAACTAAAATGCAAAAAAAAAAGATTAAGGAGTTATGTTTTTTAAAGTTAATTACTGTTGCTAGAGAAGAAGATTCGTCATTGAAGAACCAAGTGACCCGAAAATAGCATAAGCTGTACCAGATGTAATATTTCGCTTAACTAAAACAAAATTACTTTGACTTCGTAAATAAGTGTTGTATTTGGCAGTTCCATTTTTGCTACTATAGTTTGGGTATTCACTGAGACTCTTTTAAATGTTTAAAAAGTTTCTGAGGCTTTAACTATAGCCATTGCTTTCATTGCTTCTGTGTTCCAGTCACTGTTAAATTCTAACCTGCTGCATTATAAAGGGGTTATTATTTTGGAGAAACTGACCCTTTTTACTAAGAAGTATGTATTTCCTTTGGGATACCTACATATTTTTGTATCTGGGGATAGGTATTTGGGGAAAACGACTTTGTTTCATATATGTTTGACAAAAATCTGGCAACTGAATTAAATCCAAAACAGATTAAATTCTTAAAATATTTTTCTTCTTTTTTATGGACCTAGGTGACTCCCGAAACATTTCTACTCACAATGGTCTGTTGTCTGTTGTGCCTCAAGCCCGTGCCAATTTGTCCCATGTTACCATAGACGGTGGTAGTTTGATTGGTGGTGTCAAATCACTCACTAGAATGGGTGGATTTTTTGCTTCACCTTCGAATGGTAAGGCTTCTCAATTTGACTTTATTGGTGGTTCATTTTCATTTCCAAATCTGCTGGGGCCAAAGAAGCTAAGAAGCTCATTAAAAAGCTGTAGAGTTCAGAGAATACAAATATTTTGAAAAAAAGAAAAATAGTCTCTGAGTATTATTAAAATAGACAGAATTCTTCACTTCACTGGCCTTCAAATAAAATGTCTCCTTTGCTGTCTTTGCCCCATCTGAGGAGGGCCTTTGGCTATGACTACAACAGTATTCACATGGTCAGTCTTTCTCATTACAATAGATGTCTACTGATTTTTATGTTACATATACTGTTGTCACAGAGCAGCTGACCACAGTTTAGTTTAAACAGCTTAATTTTAGGTGAAGTTTTAAAAGAGTAGTGAAACGTTCTTAAAATGTTTGCTTACACTGACTTCGAAAAAGCTTTTTACTAGGAAATTAAATATTACAGAAATCATCCTGTTTCACAGGGTGCTCTTTTCTGAGATAATTATGATGAGCCCAACACTGTCAGAAATTGTTACAGGATTCACATGCTTATAGAATGCATGTTCTTATACTCTTTGCTGTTCACATAACCTGATTTGAAGTCTGCATACTTTTCACTGAGCTTTTAGTGTTCTATGTCAGCTCAAACCATTCTGAAGTTGCATTTCATCATATCCTAACATTGTCTCTTCTTAAAGCAGCCTTCAATGTGGCAAGGAGAAAACAGATCCTGGATAGTAATGGAGCAAAGCACAGGGCTCTTTTGGAACAGAGGAGACAGGCTACAGACTCTGTATCCAGGAAACCTGTGATTGCATCAGAGGTACACACCCATTCAAATATTTTTCCCTGGAAGCGAATGAAAAGATAGCACCCAGAACACAATTAGACTTTCTCTGCTCAATGATAAATTCTCTATTTAGAACAGAATACTTGTTTTAATTGAATGTTACAGTATATGTTTTTGTGTTTCAGTGTCTGGTTATTTTATACTTACACTTTTTATTCATGACGGACAGGTTTATGCAGGGAAATTAAATGGTTAAGTTTCAGCAGTAGTTTAATATGATGTCAGATTAGTAAGATTTAGATGTCAAGCGCCACTTCAAGCATAAATACTCTACTGTTATCATGGTGTTACACCTGCAAATAGCAGAAAAGTATTGTGCACTCAGTAGTTTTCCAATGAAATACAGGCTATATGAATGAAGCTTGCATAAGTTGGTTAAAATACAAAGAAGCATGTTTCATATCACATCTGTGAAAAACAGTACCGTTGTGAGTCAGGCACTAAATTCTAGGAGAGACTCTTTTTCTACATGAAATTCTCTCTTTAAAGCTATCTCTGCTAAACTTACCATTACCTATCCCTTGACTGTTGGTTGTGTTTTTTTGTTAAAAATATTGTTTTATGGTATTTCAAGAAATGCTGTGTTTGTTTACATTTTAACACAAAAGGCGATGCAAAATAAAATCCACAAAGAAGCATTAACATGACACAACATTGAATATAAAAAGAAAATCATATCTCAAAAGTGTTTTTTAATTAATACACAAACATTTTGTCTTTTCATAATATAATTGAAAGATTCTTCTCATTTTCTTCTCCCATTTTTTTTAAATACTGATGAGTAATACTGCATGGAATACAATGTGGAACAAATTATGTATAAGTTGATTATTCACAGAAAAAAAAATAATATTATCTGTCTTTTTGTAAGGCACACAATAGAATAGTCCTTGTTCAAATTACCTAGCATGAAACTGATAAATATAAACCAAATAAATTGTTCTTCACTTTGCTTATCTTAATGAAGAGATTATCTTTACTTAATAGTTCCACAGTATATTTAGTTTTGTTTTGTGAATTCAAATCAAGTGTTTTTTTAATCAAATGTAGCAATGAAACCTTTGCATACATATGTCACATCCCTTGGTTGGAAGCTATACTAAAAAATAATTTGTGAGCTCTTTTTAACCCTGTATACTTTGTGTTGCATAATTTGCTAAACTTCACCGATTTCTCAGTTGCTAATAAACTGGATACCTGCTTCTTTAATTGTTTGTTTTGTTCAGGGCACTGTTCAGATCAGTCCATTGCCAAGTAAACCTGAACAAGCACAAATGCCCTCAGATGAAGGTAATTATGAATAGACACATATTATGTTTTATAATAATAAAAATAATATTCAGTGTAATAAGATAATTTGTCTGCCAACTATAGCTGTAACTAAAAATCTAATTTAATAAATTATACTGCTGAGTTTGTAAAATCACTGCACTTGAAAAGTGCACTTCACATTATGTGCACTTGAAAAAAAGTGTGTAAGAGCTCCTCATTCTCCTTTATGTGAGCAAAATCAATGAAAAACAGCTGCATGTGTCATGTACAGTACATCTTTCTGGAATTTTGTTTATTTGGAGGTAGCCTAAAAATCATAATGGGAGCTTGCCATCCTTTAGATTTCAGGGAGATATCCTGGGTTTTCCTGTCTATACTGTAGAAATTCATACTTGTGAGACAGTGATTATTTAAAAACATGATCTCACATTTCTGAGTTGGCTTCACAGGTGGTATTTAAAGTAACTGGGAAACTGTATTCACCTGTGTTTAAGCTGTGTTTCATTACTTAAATAGAACATTTAATGTACAAATACATCCTATTATGAGAAAAAAACCTAAGAAAAAGTCCATTTAAAATTGAAAGTTAAAAACTGAAAACATTTCCACCTACTAATGTATAATGTAATTTCTCAGCTACATTATACTAAAAGTATTTGATAATATTTAGGTGACATGATATTACTGTTTCAAACTATAACAATGCAGAAATGGATCATATGTAGCCCTTGTAATGTCACATGTTGTCTTTGGAAGATCATTGTAACCAAAGTTTTCTCATAAGTGTACAGTGGCTAGGAGCTTGTATTGTGCTGAATATTTCTAATATTTGTTTGTCTGTAGCATAAATAGTGGATAAGCCCTGTTATAAAGTGTGCACTTAATTGCACTTAATGGGTGTCTGTAGGATTGAATATTCAGACTGTCTTTGTGTTTAATGTTTTCTAAAGTGTCTTGTTCTGTGGTGTTGACAGTTTCTGAGAGTACGGCCCAGTTCCTCCTGGCAGAGAACCTGACTGAAACCTCAGCCTCTGACAGTGAGATCCTGAGAGCTATGGAAATGGTGCATTCGCAGAAACACACCTTCTTGCTGAACCGAGCCCAGCACCTTGGCCTCAGCGCTCTCTCTCTGGAAGAACAGAAACTGCTACATTCATTGGAGCACCTCAATCACAGACTGCTGCGTAAGACAGCTTTCACTCACCCACTGCAGCTAAGGGAACCATTGTCCTCAGCCATTTCTGTACATTTTACAAATAAAAAGCACAATTCTGGCAGATATGTTCTTGTTTTTATCCCAGACAATTCCCAATATGATGCTAGGAATTTACTGCAAGTGTCAGGTTTTATTTCTGTTGGTTTAAATTAATTAATAAAAAATATTTGACCACATCTGCAATGCATACCAGCATACCACCATTTGGTACTAATTTAGAAACCTTTCTTACAGGTGTCTATATCTGTACTATATTTCTGTCATAGTTGACCATTATTTCACTTACTGTCCTTATTTTTACTCTTTTCTACTAAATTAGGAGCTATTTTGTATGAAGTCTGGCATTATATAGTAAAATCTATATGATACAGTAAATATACAGTATTTAATCATGGAATCTTTTGAGTTGCCACTAACAGTCCTTTCTTAAAACAATAACTTTTTTTTTT